GCGAAATCGGAAGAGAGAGTCGAAGTACGTGACCACGCTTGTATTCTGTGAAATTGTACAAGTGCACGGTTTTTGTAGTTTTTCGTATTCAAACAAAATCGATTATGCAATTGATGAAGTACGTTGTGTTATAATGGAAGTAAAATAAAGGTAAAAAGCGCCACACTACCGAACACAATCTCAAGGATACATGGCCTTCAATGGATTCATTGGGGGGAACACATTCTATTACACGTTGGCTATTCCTTTAGTTCAAACGAATAACTCATTATACGTGAACGGTGCTGGTTTCAAACAGCTAATGCACCAGCGTCAGATTGTAAATCTGGGCTGTTCTAACTGATTACTTTGTGCTACCGCCAGTAATCTCAGATATCATGTTCCTCTGGAGATATGGTTAACTTTAAGATCACACTATTTACACTATCTACAACACACTATTTACAACCATGCTATCTAAAACTACAGGAAATCCCATACTGTTTGCGTTTATCATATTTTAAAACCTGTTGCCGATGTAAATGTTTTAAAGATACGACGGCGCCATAGTTTGAGAGGGTCAATCATAAAGCGCAAATCCGCCATGTTGCCACTTTTGAATGTTCCCGCCATCTAGGTACCAACCAATCAGAATGGGAATGACGCCCCAAGTCGCGTGATCGCCATTTAACCATCCTACTTGGCCGTACCGTCTTTGCAACCGTGCTTGGGGCGTCCTGCAGGTCGTGGGCACCCGGACCGCAAGCGGAGCGAGCGAGGAATGACGATTTGTAGCTCGGCACCAGTTTATATACCACCCTGATATTGGTCTTCATACACGAGTTGCCGGGTTCAGACCGCAAGTCGCTGACTCCGGGAAAAAACCAATTAAATGGTTGAAGCGTGTAAACCAAGGAAAGACGGATTGTCAGTGCAGGCGAGAAAACAGCATAAAACATTTTCAATAATTTATTGCAGGGAAACTTCGCTTCTCCAAGTGAAATATGTGCAAGAGGACGTTTATTAAATTAGACGTCCTAACATCACAGAACGTATCCAAGTTCTTTAACGTATACATCGACCTGTCATTCTTAAACGACCTTTTTATAATTCCACACATTACACCTTTTACTACAAGCTTGGAAGGAACTCGGCATTTGTGTTTTCGGAAGTCTCGATTCAAACTCAACTATGGTCATGGATCCATGTTCATAGTTACATACCTATCGATATGTATACATAGTTAAGACTCACTCGGAACACTAGGTTACTCTCATCTTAGTTATTCGTATTTTCATGCTATACATGACTCAGCAAAAGCAGTAACATCCTATGAAGTAACATGTTAAACGGGAAAGTCGAAAAGAAGCCGGGCGACGTCGCCCAGCAGCTGGGCCTCGTATATAGTGGCTGTATGTTTTGGTATGGATCACGTGACTAGGACCAGCCGATCATTTGCTTGAGTTTGGCTTGTGCATGAATCGACTTCTTTGACTAGGGGGTTTTGAGGTGGGATTTCACTTAACACAGTCATATTTGTTAAGACGTCTGCTAAGTCCACGCACCAGAGACACAAGTCATCGTGCAGCCAAGTCGGAACACGCAAGCTCAGTGGCTTACTTTGGTAGGTAGGTGGGACGAGAGGTCTCACAACGAATATCTTTTACTTGATGCCTTGTGACACCTGCGTCATCATTTTCGAAACGGGTACCCTCATTTACTGGCTGCACGCTAAGCCTAGTACAGCTCTTGAACATAGAGGCACCTAACAGGATGCCGCATTTTCAACTTGGAAAACCTGCAGGATATATGTTGTTCGATCGTTTCTTTGGTTCTACAACGTGTAATACGTGGGATCTTACGGCAGGCCTTCCGTCAAGTCAGCTTTATGTAAGACGACCCCAAAAAATAGGCGCGCGATCCAACGCTAATAATAACCGTTCAGATATGGCACCACTTCTGTGCCTTGCTGCCATTCCACCCGAAGAAAGCACGGAGGCTGGGATACTGCCGGGTTGCCCAAACCTACACAGGTTCGAAACACGGACATCTCGATCAGTAAATTCGTGCTCTGAATATAGTCATCTCGCCCCCTCCAAAGCGTGGGCGTGCGTTTTCAGGCGATCCAACATTACCTGAAAACACGCCAGCGCGGCACTGACAGGAGCCAAGGATCTGAAGGTTCTGTGGACTAAAAAGTCCTTCCACACATGGAGTCCGATTCGTCTGAGGCATCTATAGGAACAGCCACGCCACACGGACGGCCGGCGCAGTAGACGGTAACAAAGAAAAAATTCTGCAGCCCAGAACGAGTTTGTTTCAGGTTGTTAGCTCGAGCTGGCGCAGTGGTCAATGTGCAAGCGTGGGCACCCGGACCGCAAGCGGAGCGAGCGAGGAATGACGATTTGTAGCTCGGCACCAGTTTATATACCACCCTGATATTGGTCTTCATACACGAGTTGCCGGGTTCAGACCGCAAGTCGCTGACTCCGGGAAAAAACCAATTAAATGGTTGAAGCGTGTAAACCAAGGAAAGACGGATTGTCAGTGCAGGCGAGAAAACAGCATAAAACATTTTCAATAATTTATTGCAGGGAAACTTCGCTTCTCCAAGTGAAATATGTGCAAGAGGACGTTTATTAAATTAGACGTCCTAACATCACAGAACGTATCCAAGTTCTTTAACGTATACATCGACCTGTCATTCTTAAACGACCTTTTTATAATTCCACACATTACACCTTTTACTACAAGCTTGGAAGGAACTCGGCATTTGTGTTTTCGGAAGTCTCGATTCAAACTCAACTATGGTCATGGATCCATGTTCATAGTTACATACCTATCGATATGTATACATAGTTAAGACTCACTCGGAACACTAGGTTACTCTCATCTTAGTTATTCGTATTTTCATGCTATACATGACTCAGCAAAAGCAGTAACATCCTATGAAGTAACATGTTAAACGGGAAAGTCGAAAAGAAGCCGGGCGACGTCGCCCAGCAGCTGGGCCTCGTATATAGTGGCTGTATGTTTTGGTATGGATCACGTGACTAGGACCAGCCGATCATTTGCTTGAGTTTGGCTTGTGCATGAATCGACTTCTTTGACTAGGGGGTTTTGAGGTGGGATTTCACTTAACACAGTCATATTTGTTAAGACGTCTGCTAAGTCCACGCACCAGAGACACAAGTCATCGTGCAGCCAAGTCGGAACACGCAAGCTCAGTGGCTTACTTTGGTAGGTAGGTGGGACGAGAGGTCTCACAACGAATATCTTTTACTTGATGCCTTGTGACACCTGCGTCATCATTTTCGAAACGGGTACCCTCATTTACTGGCTGCACGCTAAGCCTAGTACAGCTCTTGAACATAGAGGCACCTAACAGGATGCCGCATTTTCAACTTGGAAAACCTGCAGGATATATGTTGTTCGATCGTTTCTTTGGTTCTACAACGTGTAATACGTGGGATCTTACGGCAGGCCTTCCGTCAAGTCAGCTTTATGTAAGACGACCCCAAAAAATAGGCGCGCGATCCAACGCTAATAATAACCGTTCAGATATGGCACCACTTCTGTGCCTTGCTGCCATTCCACCCGAAGAAAGCACGGAGGCTGGGATACTGCCGGGTTGCCCAAACCTACACAGGTTCGAAACACGGACATCTCGATCAGTAAATTCGTGCTCTGAATATAGTCATCTCGCCCCCTCCAAAGCGTGGGCGTGCGTTTTCAGGCGATCCAACATTACCTGAAAACACGCCAGCGCGGCACTGACAGGAGCCAAGGATCTGAAGGTTCTGTGGACTAAAAAGTCCTTCCACACATGGAGTCCGATTCGTCTGAGGCATCTATAGGAACAGCCACGCCACACGGACGGCCGGCGCAGTAGACGGTAACAAAGAAAAAATTCTGCAGCCACGAGCGAGTTTGTTTCAGGTTGTTAGCTCGAGCTGGCGCAGTGGTCAATGTGCAAGCTTACTGACCGGAAGTTCCGTGGTTCGAGATCCAAGCAGACCGGAAGTTCCGTGGTTCGAACCCGATCCAAGCATTCCTACTGCTCCAGATTTGGCCGCGAATTTACTGACCGGAGGGCCCGTCGTTCGAACTCGGACTCTGCATCTCGACTCCCCTGTCTAGGCCTGGGTAACCTGGAAGTATCCCAGAGCCCATGCTTCATTCGGGTGGCATGGCAGGTAGGCACCGAAAGGGTGTTACAGCTGAACGATTATAATTATCTTCATATACCAGTACGCGCACACGGATATAGACTAGGGATATAAATTTATGAGGGACATATTTGCTAGCTGAACACTACCAACGTTTCTGAAATTCGCCAGAGTCATCATCATCATCAGCTGTAAAAACCGCCTACTCGTACGGCGATTGTAGCTGCGGCAGTTTCGTTCACCGAAGACCTGGAGGGTAGGGTAGGTGAGGGAACGTAGCTGCGCATGGGAGGTGGGAGCTGATAAAATGGTGCATAACACAACCACTGTCAGTGGGCTGTTAAAGAGGAGGTGAATTTGAAAAATGAGGTATGCAACTAAAGGAGTCGATCTCCGTTGTCTATGCGACGAGCATAGACTCCGAATATACCACCCAAATGTGATTCCGAGGGGATCAGACGACCTAATTGAGCATTCAAATCGCCTGCAAGGATCACAATGCCAGTGCTTTTTGCCTGGCGAATGAGCCCGAATGCCAGCAAAGTGCGTTCAGCTCTGGGGCTGAGTGCGACTCCCACGCCATATATTCCACGGGTCATCGCTTCTGGGTCACCGGACACACGGAGGGAGAAATGTGAAAGAGCTGAGTTCATCCTTGGCGTTCTGAGATGCATAACCACGCTGGGGTCTCGTATGCGTGTTTCGGAGACACAGCATACATCAATTTTAAGGGAGTACAAGGTTTCAGCAAGCACTACCTGTTTGCCAATTTGACATAGAGTACGGATGTTAAAAGCTCCTATATAGAGAGGACCTCGTGGATTTGGAAAGGTGTTATTTTGTTTAATGTTTGTAGGCAGCGAGGAGCATAAGGCCCTTCGGTTAGATGACTGACAGTCAGATGGCTCGGCGACGTTTGCTTGTGCGGTTGGGGGGGGGACATCGGTGAACGCTGAACTGCGCGGGCAAATGATACTTCCTGGTTGCCCAGGCCGAGGAAGGGAGTTTAGTTGAGATACCCCACCTTGAGCTTTTGACTCAAAAGTCTGACCCACGAGGCAGTGGGAGAATGTAGGGTTTTCTTTGGGGACCCTCCTCGGAGCCGACGACTCAACAGTCTGACCTGCTCGGCTGCAGGGGGTTGGCCTAACCCGAGGGCGCAGGGAATAAGGGATTACTGTCTCCTGATGCGGCTGCGCACAGCAGGTGCCTTTTGAGCAGCACCGGGCTCTTTGGTTTTAAAAGTATTTCGACCGTATTGGATAATGCGCCGACGGTCACGGTCAACCAGTGGGCGATCGGAGTGTGTGGGTTTTGAGGCCGACCCTTTCTAGCCCGTCCTTCCTCGGGGGGAGGCAGCATCGCTGCTTCCACAAATATGGATATGCTGGTCGCTCGGGGGAAACACCTTACTGCCTTCACACTCCTGTCGCAGGGGATAGTACGGCTTTGCCCCCAGACCGTCTCGTAGCACGATTACTCGTAGTACTGGGTCTCGCTACTCTTGGTCTGGCTGCTCCCCTTTGGCCTTCTTAGCATGGTTGTACCTCGTGGAACGAAGTTCCAGGCAGTCTAGCCCGCGGGATCATTGCAGCACTCAAGCCCAACCACCACGTCAAGGTGACAGCTTTAGGTCGGGAGGTCGACAGAGCCAAAAGTAGCTTTCATATCGATAGAAACGACGAACGTTGGGCGTTTGAAAGAGTGGGGATGTTCAAGAACTTGTTTTGAGGTAAACGTATGGTTGGTGCAACCTCGGTCAGTTTTCAGCCTGTTAGTTACAAGTGCTACATGTTGCTCAGGACGACGATTTCGCTCTTGAACTGCCGTCCCATCTTTTTTCGTAGGTTGTTTCAGTGACATTTATTTTCTGGCCTGAAACTGGCGCGTTTGTTACCGGCATCGGAAGCCTTATCTAATTCCTGAGGCTTCGCGGTCCATCAGCGTTCTCTTTCCTTCGGGTGGCATGGCAGCTAGGCACTGGAACGTGTTCCAGCTGAGAGATTTTTTTGGCGTTCTCTGTCATTCTTCCGGTATTTGGGAGGTCTGCGCGTGTCGTCATAATCGCCAGTTGCTAGTATGACTTCTCGCAATAATAATCATAATGGTACTAAGATCTGCTGATATCTACTATATTTACTATTTACTTAATGCAGTAGGACGCCTATACAGGCACTTCCAAAATCTGAAAGCGTAGCCTTAGCTCTCCGCCATTCAAACTCCAATCTTCGTCACCGTCGTTCTACATTTCCACTGGCTTCCTCCTCAAATCAGGTGGGATACTGGTTTGCTGCCGAAACTCATCGAAGTTGGACGGAGACTCCTTTTGAGGTATTAAATCCCCACCATGATTTTGATTTCTGTAGACTGAAGGGGGCTGCCGCTTTGGAACTTAAGCTTCGTCGCCGCTCACTTTCTTGAGCAGGAATCCCGTTTCTCGCCTTTGTTCTCTATGATGAATAAGCTTATCAGTAACCACGACAACCTATATCCGCTCTTCATAGCAGTCTTTCCCTTGCACCAGTGTGTACTTATCACAGCATTCTTCATGCTCGACATAATTCGAGAGGACATAGCTGCTTTTGAATCTACTTCAGCTTTTTTCCACTTCTGCGATGTGTCCTATGAAGATTGAATAAACAACTGTGTTTGAGGGTTGAAATATCCTAGCTCAAACGAGGATTCGCTTTGAACAGCATCGACATTAGATGGATCGATGCCAATCAACACGGAGTCACTTATCACACGTTTGTTTTCCCTGCAGCACTTGGAATTTGACGAGACACTGCGGGAGATCATGCGATGTTACCATGGGTGATGTACCAGCAAAGTGAACTGTTCTTAATCTTTGTGGTAATTCGGTGCAACAATTTTTCTGCTCAACCATCCTCTTAAACGTGGCCCAATCACTGAAACTTAGGCACCAGCAGGTTTATCTGGTGTATTACTGTCAATCATGATAACGACCCCATTACATCCACGTTACGGTTCCAACGAGATTGCTGGAAGAGCTCCAATTCTATAGGCCCTTACTTGAATTTGCTTCAGTACCGTGCGGCCCAGCCTAAAAGTGAGTGCCATGTTTCGCACTGACCGACGATGCACGAACCATACGTTTACCTCAAAACAAGTTCTTGAACATCCCCACTCTTTCAAACGCCCAACGTTCGTCGTTTCTATCGATATGAAAGCTACTTTTGGCTCTGTCGACCTCCCGACCTAAAGCTGTCACCTTGACGTGGTGGTTGGGCTTGAGTGCTGCAATGATCCCGCGGGCTAGACTGCCTGGAACTTCGTTCCACGAGGTACAACCATGCTAAGAAGGCCAAAGGGGAGCAGCCAGACCAAGAGTAGCGAGACCCAGTACTACGAGTAATCGTGCTACGAGACGGTCTGGGGGCAAAGCCGTACTATCCCCTGCGACAGGAGTGTGAAGGCAGTAAGGTGTTTCCCCCGAGCGACCAGCATATCCATATTTGTGGAAGCAGCGATGCTGCCTCCCCCCGAGGAAGGACGGGCTAGAAAGGGTCGGCCTCAAAACCCACACACTCCGATCGCCCACTGGTTGACCGTGACCGTCGGCGCATTATCCAATACGGTCGAAATACTTTTAAAACCAAAGAGCCCGGTGCTGCTCAAAAGGCACCTGCTGTGCGCAGCCGCATCAGGAGACAGTAATCCCTTATTCCCTGCGCCCTCGGGTTAGGCCAACCCCCTGCAGCCGAGCAGGTCAGACTGTTGAGTCGTCGGCTCCGAGGAGGGTCCCCAAAGAAAACCCTACATTCTCCCACTGCCTCGTGGGTCAGACTTTTGAGTCAAAAGCTCAAGGTGGGGTATCTCAACTAAACTCCCTTCCTCGGCCTGGGCAACCAGGAAGTATCATTTGCCCGCGCAGTTCAGCGTTCACCGATGTCCCCCCCCCAACCGCACAAGCAAACGTCGCCGAGCCATCTGACTGTCAGTCATCTAACCGAAGGGCCTTATGCTCCTCGCTGCCTCGTGGTTATGCATCTCAGAACGCCAAGGATGAACTCAGCTCTTTCACATTTCTCCCTCCGTGTGTCCGGTGACCCAGAAGCGATGACCCGTGGAATATATGGCGTGGGAGTCGCACTCAGCCCCAGAGCTGAACGCGCTTTGCTGGATTGGATCCCAGTGAACAGTCGTCTCTGCGCTGTCCGGTTATCTAGTTCAATCAAGCTCAATGCCTCGCGGCTTATGCCCCAACGGACTGCAGTTCAAATGCGGAGAATGACACTTTCTATCGAGAGCCATTCGGGCTCATTCGCCAGGCAAAAAGCACTGGCATTGTGATCCTTGCAGGCGATTTGAATGCTCAATTAGGTCGTCTGATCCCCTCGGAATCACATTTGGGTGGTATATTCGGAGTCTATGCTCGTCGCATAGACAACGGAGATCGACTCCTTCAGTTGTGTGCTGATCATGAGCTGTTTCTGGCACGTACGGTGTTTCAACATAAACGTTCGTACCGCGTAACCTGGCGGCTACCAACTACAAATCAACGGTGGACCCAGTTGGACCACCTCACCATCAGCCACCGGTGAGCCACAATTCGATACTGCCGTTTCTTCTGGGGCACCACTTGATTCCGATCAGGCCGTGGTGCACGCACGCTTGACAGTTCTTTTCCCTTCAGGTGCTCGCAAGTCGGTAGGCAAGAGGCCAATCCACTATCCTCGAAGAACTGCCATAGCTCAACAGTATCGATCTGAGCTAGCCGAACAACTCTCCACAGTAAAACAACACTGTGGTGGAAGTGAGCATGTGGATGAAGCGTGGCAAAATGTGAAAGGAGCTAAGCTAGCTGCGTTCAGTGCTGCCTGCCCGACTTCTCCAATTCGACAACAGGACCACTGGATTTC